CGATTCTATTATGTATAACTTCATGAAGGCATTGATTTTTAAGACATTGAAGCTATTTCAAGCCAACATTGCCAGAAGAAATTTTCAGAGTCTAAAAGCAAATAAGCAGTGATGGAATGCAACGATTGAGTCTTGAAGGATTTTAGATATTGGCCTCTAAACATTTTACATATGAAGCCTATTCAAATTCACTAAGTATTTACAGTTAAGAGGGGTTTGAGTTGGGTTATGTGACAATTAGAAGAAGCGTTTCTTCTGTTTTGATGGTTGTGATTGGCTCGTGCTTTCACGGAATAGCGTCTTCGTCTGTGGGTTGAAGCTTTCTGTGTTGATGGCTCAAGAGTTGCTCTTAACACATCCCAGTATTTACTCCCTTTATTAGTAGTTGACTGGAGGAATGTTATATCGGGGATAAGTCTTAGATTCATATGGGTTGTTGTTTATACTATTTTTGTCCCTATGCCTTCCTTTTAGCTCGTACGCTTACGTCCTGCCGATCCCACCGAGTAATTGATTTTGGGCTCTCCTGTTACGTAATTTCTTATTGCTTTTGTTGCCTGTTTTGTCGAATAATGGTTCGAGTTATTGTTTTATGAGGTGCTGTTGTTGATGTAGCTGGGGTTTTACCTTCTTTTGTGTCCCCTAGGGCTTGTAATTGTGCTGTTGGTAATCCTAGTTGTGCTTTAATTCTGGTCCCTTGGTGTCGGTGTTGTTTGCCCCGGCCGTTTTGGCTAGTTTTTCTAAGACTCATGAGGTTGTGGATGACCCGATTGGATGGTATGGTATGATAATGGTATTTGGGGTGGGTTGGGTGTGATTCTACCCTGTAGATGTCGGTTTAGTTCATAGTTCGTTTGTGGATATGCTAGTTAATGTTATTGACCCTAAGACTTGGTATATCATGTGGAGGTGACAACTCTGGGTGGTTGGTCTACGTGTGCATATTGATTGCTTCATGGGTCGTTTGATGATTCTGATTATGTTTTCCTCTTTTGGTATGTTGGGGGTTGAGGATCCAGGGGTTCTTTTGCTCTACTGCGGGACACTCCGGTCGTTTATGTTGCTTCTTGTGGAAGGGCTCATGGGGGTAGACGTGGAAGATAATTTGTGGGTGGTGGCGTGGTGCTGGGTTTTGCTTTTCCTCCACTTCATGGTTGTTTTTTATGGGTTGACAGTTCTAGTTACTTTTGCTTGTTTTTGGTGCCTCACTATTTTTATTTCTATTGACGGGAAATGATGTGGCTGGGCTCGTTTCTCAGTTGGCATGTTTCATGCAACCTTTGGTGGAGATCCTTTGCTCGGTTGGGGTGGCTACTTCGCGTTTGTCTCTTCACCAAATTGGATCGGCATCTGACGTGGCTTTTTGGGAAGTCGGTAGTCTCGCCTATAATTGAGCCTCGGGATTGGAATTTCCCATGTATTTCTTTTGTTTCTAGGCTTTTTGTTTTCTTTGCTCTTTGTACTCTTTTCTTGTCATAATATATGTTTTTTGTTAAAAATGCGTAAACAGTTGATTATTGTCCAACCTAATCTGAGAAATAAATATTTTTAGACCCAATAATTTAGTGTTTTTATGGTAAAAAAAAAAATAAAATAAAACTTCTAAGCTCTTGTTTTGAAATATTAAGTGAAAATTTTGTAATCACAGGTCTTTAACCTATACGCTTTCAAAAAAGAGTGAAATATAATCACTGTAGAGTGAGAAAAATTAAATAAATGAAATAACTTTTTACTTGGATAACCTTTTTTAAAATTAAACAATTGAAAATAATTAATATAATTGAATTTATAATACAACAATTTTAAAAAACTTTCCTAGTAGTTATTGTCTATCATTATCGTATGTTAACTTCCCAATGAAATAAAAGTAAAAATTTAATCAATTAAATAAAAAAGCTCGCTCATTTCTCCACAATTAAGGAAATGTCTTAAGGCTTCTTATTATATATATATGCATGTTTTGTGTGCTATATAGTTTTCATGAAGCAAAATAATCAAGTTTTATGGCAGTAAACAGATTTTTGGTTGACTAGATCTTGAATAAATCATGGAGATTAGGTGGTTAAAGGGTGGTGGAGGGATGATCAACACTCAGCGCAGTCAAGAGGAACAAATAGCGTTTGAATTGATAATTTCAATCAGGGGGTTGGAATTTTCTTAAGTGTATCGGTTTTGTGGGAAATGCGTAGAAATTAGGGAAATTGTTATTAAGTAATTTGAAAGAGAAAGAGAAGCAAATAGAAGAAGGATCATGAGTCTTCATCAAATAACAAGGATGAGACTTTGTATAGTCGTGGGTACAGATGTTAGTGCGGATTGCGGTTGTGGACACGAAACGCGACGTGGAGGCGATGCGAAGCAGGCGAGTTAGGAGCGAGGTCAAATTCAGATCGTTTCCACGTTAGTGGGAATTGACACATATAATGATCCAATTTTCAACAGGGGTTTGGATATTGGACATGTACCCGAGCCATCCTACTAAACGGGTACAAACCCGATATTAAATAATGTTTTGGAGTTCAAAGCTTAAGTAGGATTTTTGTATCGTGTACATTAATTGACATCCCTTAACCATATATCTTATCCAATTGCCATGCAATAATATATATTATATAAATATATATATATATATATATACAAATATATATATATAATATATATATATAATCTAAAAAAAATACATCCTCATAAAATATAGAAAATGAAATTCTTCCCCTTCGATAATATATGCTCTAATCTAAATGCATTCATATATGGTAATAAACATAAAAGTAAAAACAAACATAACATACATTATCCCGTTTAGGTACACATCAACATTAGTTATCAAAATTGAAAAGAAATACAATCGTAAAATTAATATTGAAGTAATCAAATAATTTAAAAAATAGACGGTTCTAACATGCCATCAATACTTCTTAACATTAAAAATTTTTTCAGTTAATGATTTTTATAAAATATTTATAATTTATAATTATTTATGTTTCTAAATATCAAAATATAGTTTAAGCTTTTTAAATTCAAACAAGACAACAATTGTACAACAAAAAATTGCTGACAAATAGAAGAAGCGCGCGTACTTCGGCCCAAGTAAAGGTTCTAAAAAAGGCTTAGCCCATATATAGGACAAAGCCATGATTCAGATGTAGAAGCCCACTTACTATTTTATTTTACATTATTAAGATATATAGCTTACTGGATGAGTAGTTTTACGCTAGAGATAAAATGCGAAATGCTATATATACGTTTGAAAAGACTTGAGTAGTTCCAATGATAGATTTAGATTAAGAGAGTTACCTCAGATGGTTTAGTCCATAAAACAACAACCTTATGATGACCCGATAGAATAGTAGATGTATTAGATCGAGTTTATGTTAAGAAATTATAGAGGTGGTCTAAAAAGACTTTATTAGAAATATATTTTAATTGATTATTTTTATTAGATTTCATGTTTTGTTTGGGACGCCTCTGTTCATTAATCTGATAGAAAAATTTTATTTATACAAAAATTTATTTTTTAAAATAGTAGAAAAAAAAAAAACAAAAGTCCTAAATGAAGCTTTAAATAAGATTTTTCTCTTATTTAGGTCGAATCCCACTTAGTGGAGAAAATTCACTGGTTGTTATATGTTTAGATGATTAAGTGTATATAGATTCATATTACAGTTAATCCAGCCCATATATGAAGGTGTTTGGCCCAATAGTTTAGCTTTAACGGCGTCAAATTCCTAACTTCGCTCTTTGTTGTGAAAGAAGCATAGGGAATCCAAATATTAAGATTTTAATATTAATGTAACTAATAGATAATTAAATTTATATAAAAAAATTTTACATATGCTTTTCCCATTCATGATTTTTAGTATTTACAAATTTTATGCATCATTTGGTCATCACCCTGTCGCTGGTAGCCGCAACAGTAATATACAGTCCATCACCACCATTGATAAGAGTCAACGCCCGCCAACCAGTAGCCATCACTATCGTTCAGTTTTACACTATATTTATTTTACTTCAATTCAAATAAAAATAATAATCACATCTATTTATTTTACACTCATCCAAATAATTTGAAATATTTTAAAAATATGTTATATTCATTTTATATTGTATTATACTTTATTTTATATTTTTTTAATCCAACCAAACATCTCTTATGGATTAAGTAGCAAAAATGCAAAATAATGATGTAAACATCGCCCTACATGGACCATGGTACTAGTTGATGCCCATTTTCTAGTAACTATATAATGTGCAATATTCTTATTATTACTAGCTTGTTAATTTTTGATTTGACACAATAGAAGAATTTTGATTTTTTATCTATTCTTTCCTTTAAAAAAAAAAAGATACATTCTTATGCATACCTAAATACATAAATGAATATCTCTCTCTCTCTATATATATATATATGAAATAAATAATAATTCATATATTTATAACAATTTGAGCTAGACTTTACTTAATTTAAAATTATTA